ATAAACACACTCGAAAATATGTGTGCTTTGTAAGCTTTTTGTAAAATTTTTTACATGTAGAGGAAATTAAATTAGTATGAAAAACGATGATTAGATGCTGCTATATACTAATAAATATATGTATAAATAATATTTTTGTAGTTTCACTTCCATACCAAGATATGTAGGTAAGTAGATATATAGTACATTTTATTTATGCACATTTATGTATATATGTATTTGTATGAGCAATTCGCTTAATTGCTGGACATTTCATTGATGCGTACACTTGTCCTTGGACTTCTTTTTACGATCGTCGCTTGAATTTGATCGGCGCGTACCTTGAATCGGCATATAAGGCGGTGTGGGGCTTGAGCTTTTATCTGCAATTGATAAAAAGGCAGCGAGTTAGCAATGATAGGTACAAATTGTGCGCGCTGACGTTCAAATACATATATACCAAAAGTACTCGATTGCGAGTAGTTCATGCGTGGCGCTAGTTCATGTCTGTTGAGTGAATCATGCGAGTCAATGGAGTAGTTTTCTGATCTGTAAGAAAATTCGCAGTTAGATACTCGTAGCATACAGCGTATCACTCGCTGTCACTCACCTGGTCATCGAATTGTGCTGCAACAGTTGCGCTTCTCCATTCGCGCTAATATTTAGCGAAGTGGGTCGCTGACCTGGCCGACAACTATCCACTGGCAGCGTATAGATATCATCATCGACGCGATTAAGCATAGCGCTGTTGTGGAGGCCGCCACCGCCGCCAGCGTTCTGTTGACTATTAGCGCTGCGTCGTCCACCTTCACGCGTCAAACTGCCATTGGTCAGTGTGCCATTGTGTTGTTGACGCTGCTGCAGCTGCTGTTGATTATGTAGCACATCAATGGGATTCGAGTACGCCTCCACGTCAATGATGTCCTCTTCCTCAACTGCCTCGTGCAGGACGCTACTACTTTGGGTACTTGGATGCGTGTTCGTGTGTGAACTGTTGGCAGCGGCTGTTTGCGAGGCTGCCGCAGCGTGTGTTGAATGCTTGCCAAAGGAGAGGCAGTCCTGTGGCAGCGGCAGTAGTGGTCCACAATGCAGTCCATTCGTAAAGCTGCCATTTGAGCCGCATAGTGTGGTGTTGCCCGCACCGTCCTTTTGTTGATGCTTGCGTAGGCGCGCTTTTTCTTTGGCACGTTTTGCTTTGGAGCGCTCCTAAGTGTGGGTAATCATCGTTAATGATTTAGGGTACCGAAAGCTGTTTTTTTTAATACTCACACGATCTTGCAGCATTTTGGCTAGTTCTTTGTCCTGCGCTTCAATTGCCATCAGACGATCTCGTTCCTCTTGTGTGAGCCCGTCATTCGCCTCCATTTGCTGTAGTCGACGTGCCAGCAACTGAAAAAATATGAAACAAAAGGCGACATCTTAGTTTCCAAACGTCACTGAAAGGAGATACTGGAGTTCAAAGTTAAGGAATGGGAAATGGAATTATGCTCAATGTCCCAGTCAATGATCGGCTCTCTTTTCTAGGTTTAGGGACATATGTAGGAATGTCGAATGTAATGAGAGAACTGATGAATTGGCGTAGGCAATAGCATGTCAGGATAAGTACGAGGCATTCGTACTGGGTTGCTCTCTAAAGACAAATTGTTCGGCATTTTCTTGGACAGGCTGTAAACAAGTGGGCAGATGTACAGATCAAGAAAACTGTTGACTGACTGCAACAGAACCAAGATCTCGGATCTGCTTAATAGATCAAGAGTAGAAGTATTCAGAATAGTGGAAACCATAACGCGGCACTTGGCTCTAGGCAAAAATACGATAAAAAAAGACAGAAAAAATTTCTTGTGAAAATGACCAGGCCATACGAATATTAGCTATAAAACACTAGGAAAATACATTATAACTCATCTAAAGGACCTATTAGCAGCAGAGGATGCAGCACATATGAAGCCTGTATCGTACGAGAAGTGCATCAATGGCGTCAAAATATGCTAATTGTATCATAGTCTAGTACTAGAAAGCACTGCGGTCAACCCGAAAATGGTCTCATCTGGTTTCTGGCATCGGTAAGAACTTAATGAAGGATCCCACAAAGCTGACTCTAGATAAACCCAAAATTTTAGCCCACTATTATGCTCTGCGCAAACAGTCGTAATTGTCACCTAAGTTTAGAATCGAAACAAGGCCGTCAAACCGTTCACCGGCATCAACCCGGACAAAAACATTAAAGAGGTACAGACTGCTGTTCATAAGGACCGGTGTACGAAGCTACATACCTGTCCGAGCGTCAGACTTCAAACTGCCACCAAAATCTCGCTGATTTAGCAATAACACCATCAAATATTTTCAGTAGGCTGCCTCCGTATCACTCCAGCTGGCACAACATAAGGCCGAGGCGCCTTCTGACTAAGACAACCGAAGTCACCTAATTGATATTTCATATTGACTAGGTTCAGTAGTATACATACACATTTGTCATGCGCTGAATCAGACGATCTACAAACAGCCCTTACATATAATTTATCTGAAGAAAATCAATCAAAACTCGTCCCATGACAGCCGTCATCTGGAGCCCACAACAGCTCTTAGACCAAAAAGTCGAGCTTACCAATGAGTTCAATTTCTGCTAGTCAGAATCATCCTAGCTATACCAAATGTATGACATAATGCACCGAATAATGCTAATCACCTCTTTGCATCCTCACTAAAACTATGTAACTCATTTAACGCCAGTGGTGTCATTTAACTCTAAAGTAGGTATGAAAATGAGTTAAGGAATCTTTCTCCGCAATTGGCTCAAAAGTTTATGGCATTGACTACAGTATGTTAATGTAGAACTAACTATCTAAGGCGGAGATCCCTGAAGACTCTTTGAACGTAAGTTTAAATAGTTTAAACTGAATACCTCAAGAGTTGTAGCGTTCCCGCATGGACATTATGGATTGTAAATAAATAATATTGTTGGGTACTATAAATATCTTAGGCATTATGTGAAATAAATTAGCTTGCTATTGAAATTTATACATATGCACTTGAACACTACCCTCTGAACTGGATAATCTCTGCCGAATAAATTATTTGCAACTAGCGTAGCCATGGAACAAGTGTCACATACGGCTTTTTTCGCATAAACTTCCATCATTTCTTTGCTACATATCTAAATTCGCCTTAGATTCCTTACGAGTATCGTGGCCCTATTCGTTGAGAATAACTATTGGGGCAGGAAGTAAAAGGCAACTCGTCCCCACCTCCCACCCATGGCCTTCGTGCTCTTGCCTATCACAAAAGGCGACTGGTTTCCATATATATAACCTCAGTGGTCCAAAAAACGAAATCAGTAGAAATGAAGGCGGACCCAGCCATAATTGGAATGTTGTTGTCAGATAACTGTTTGCAGTATACAAAAGTTTAGAGGCCCCAATATAAATTCAGACGTGACATTTTAGCGATTCTTGGATATTTTTCTTTTGTTTATTTGATGTTTATACTAATTTTTGAAAAATTTTTCGCCGATGCTGTTTGGCCTATTTTAGCCCATTGAAATTTACACATAATTAAACTAAAATTGAATGAGCTACAAAACTGCATACCCAGAATTTTTTACAAAAACTGGGATTAAAAAGTTAAAAAAAATACATAAAAAAATTAAAAAATTTTAAATTTAAAATTTTTTCGATAATTAAAAAAAAATATAAAAATTTAAAATTTTTAAATCCTTTCGACAAAGTTTGAAATGTTGATTTATATGCTGATTTTTATGCATTGAGTTAGACTTGTATAAAAATGTTTAAAATTAAATAAACAAAAGAAAAGTAAACAAAACATGGCAACATTTTTTATTTGTATTATTTTTTTTCCACCACTGTATTCCGAATAGCACGGTGTTTTAAACTATAGCTGGATCTCAACACTACTGGTTGCCGCTGTAAATTATCAGAAAAGTAAAGAATACCCACCTCATCTTTTTGCTCCTGCTTCAATTTCTTGCTCATCTCCTTGATCTCCTCCATGGGCAAACCGATCTCCTTCAAACTCGCATAATCACACGGATCCACATACAGCTCAATATCATCTGCGTGCGCTTGCATATGCCGCTCAGCGGCTACGGCGTTACATGCAACCGCACGTCCAGCGCCAGTGGCATCATTACCCACCAGCTGATCGTATTTCTCCGGTGAGAGTTTCTGAAATTTGTGTTCATTTCTTAGCAAATTCTCATTTGACACCGAATGTAAGCGATTGGTTAAAGCGCCGCTTGGTGAATTGGAATTGTTGCTACTAAAAGTGTTGTGCAATGGTGATTCAGTTGTGCAGCTTTCAACACTAGCGCTACCACCACCACCAGCAGCAGCACTTTTTTCAAGATGCCTTATGCTGTCCACCGCATCGGAATATTCAATCAATTCTTCGACTGAATGTTGACGTTGATGCAGCGGCTGTTGGTGCTGCTGCCGGCTTAGTGGCGTTGATGGGTGGGTTGTATGTGGTTGTTGTTGTGGTGGTGCAGAATGGTCAGTGTAGGGTGCATGTGTTGGTGCGTGTGGCTGTGCAAATGAGAATGTCTGTACCGATGAGGATGCTGCTGTTGCTGAAGTCATTGCCGCTGCTGCTGAAGAGGATGACGTCGATGCAGCTGAAGCTGACGAAATGGATGACAAGGAGTGTTGATGCTGATGCTGCAGATGAATGAGATGAATTTGTTAGTTTTTTTGTTAGTAAAGAGTCATTGTTTATTGCGCGAAAGCGATTAGTGTGTGGTGGTTGTTGCTTCATTGAAACTCACCAACAAGTGACCGCCAGCAGATGAGCCGCTGCTGCCGCTGCTGCTGTTGCTATTGCTCAGTGCATTTAGTTGTGATCTGTTGTGTTGGCGTGTGGAAGATGTTGGTGGCGATCGTGAATCTAATGCATTTGCTGATGACGGCAATGCTGCTGATGTGGTTGTTATAGGTGATGATGTCTTTTGTACCGTTAGGCCTACATAACAATCGGTTTGTGAGAAATGCTGTTGTTGCAAAAGAAATGATGTGGGCGACAATTGTTGTTGTGACTGTGACTGATGTGACGTTTGTGGTGATTGTGATAGTTGTTGTTCCTGTTGTTGTTGCTGATGATGTCTCGCATGGTGACTACTACTACCACTACCACTATTACTACCGAAATATCTACCGTTCGAAGTTGAGGGTTCATTTGGATTCTGTTGCAAGATACTTGCTTTAGCTGGACGTGGCGGTGGTGCATGCGCCTTTCCGCGCATTGGTGGCGGCAAATTCACATAGAGCTCCTGCAATGAGTGCACAGAAAATTATGTTAATATGTATGTTCATTAGGGCGGGTCAATTTGCATGGCGAATTTTTTCGACTATACGTCTATGGCACAGAAGGATTCTACGTGTAATTCTAAGCAAATTTGCCGAAGAAACCATTGGTTTAAAATCAATTTAGAGTTTGCCAAATTGCGAAAATAAGGTTTTTATCATTTTGCTGTAGAGTCGTAAAGAAGTGCTTAAATTCTGCGTAAAAACGTAAATCCATTTCGGGACTTATCTTTTCATTTAAATGTTCACATTTTCTTCAAAACCTATTTTCGCAATTTGGCAAACTCCAAATTGACTTTAGACCCATGGTTTATTTAGCAAATTTGCTTAGTATTATACGTAGAATCCTGCTAAGCTATATGCGCATAGCCAAAAAAAAAATAAAAATAAAAAATGACCCGCCCTAATGTAACAACATCGAAAATCATAAATAATGCAACATGTGCGCATCTTTCACCTGCATCTGCTGCGCCATTTCCTCGCTCTCCAGCAACTCTCTTTGCCTCTGTTCCTGTAAGTCACGTTCCAGCTTTTCGGCGATCTCCTTCGCTACACGCTTATCATATGCTTCCCTGTGGTCACATAAAACATTTCACCTTGGTGTCTGACTACATATAAATGTGTATAATTTTATTGCACTTACTGTTCGAGCAGTCGACGTCGATACATTTCCACTTGCCGCTCGGCTTGTTCCTTCTCCTTGATTTGCTCATTCAGCGCGGTGGGAAAATCCTCACGTACCACAGCGTTGCGCTGTCGATTGCCTTTGTAGAAGTCATTTACTGTTGGAGAAGAATTGCAAAATATGAATTATGTATGTGTGTGTGTGCATAAGTTATAAACTTTAGTTCCGGTTGTTAATTTTGTACTTTGCTAAGGGACATTACTTACTTTCTTGTGATTGCAATTTATAGGCGAGCGCGCTGTCTTCACGTACCAGCCATTCTTTACACACTGCAATAGAAGAACGAGAAGTGAATAAAGTTGCAACTAAGCCAATAAAATGCATAATAAATAGTTATGAAGATACAAGAGCAATAATTATGTCTATACTAAATAGTTACATTTATAGCAGTGGTATGGACCATTCATTTGCTGAACTTGCAACTGGTAAACGAAAGCAAAGCTTTTAATAGCTAACTGAGTAATATCGCCTCTCTAACGAGTCATCTAATTGACATAGTTCAACTTTTTTCACTAATTCGGTGCGCAGTTCCCGTATAGAATTAAGAATTTGATATCGTTCCAGCTGATGAAAAGATTGCTGCCGTTGCAAAGCCCTGGCTAAATCGTCTAAATGGAGACTCAAGCTTAACTAAGTGACACATCTATCTTCCTTATATCTATTAGAAGGGAAATCTTTGACATTATAATGAAAAGGAGGCAGAACTTTTGAATGGCTTCAGAGTCTCTAGAAAAAGTTTGAAACAACTTTTCCTAACTGCCTTTCTCGCCCCACAACCAAGATAAACTCGACGTGCAAGTCGAAGTAGAAAATCAAAACCTCGACTGAAATTGCAACCCTGAGGATGGAATTTAGAATAGAATTTAACAAAGGTAGGAGATCCAGCTCTTGGAGTGAATTCAAAGACTGGCAACGCCGATTTAAGTATTCAATCAGAGAAGATAGGCGCTCGTAATAGAGAAACTTCTGCCAGAAGATAGAAAGTTCTTCAGAAGCCAGCAGACTATGTAAGATACTATCAATGTGTCCTATCAATATTAGTTACCTCGTCAATCAAGACGATTGGACACTCAGCAGCAAAGAAACATTAGCGCTTCTAATAAAAACGCACTTTCCGGGCTGCCTCCACAGTAAAGTTACCAACAATCGACTCGCAGGCAATAACGATGACCTCCTTACGAACATTATTACTGAGGAGAACATAAAACGTAGTAATAGCAGCTTCCAACCGTAAAAGTCTCCGGGACCAGCCCGAATCATTCCCACTTCTTTGAGGCAGCGTTACAACTTAATTATATACCCCACAAATGGGTGGAGATAAGATTAGTTTTCATATTTTAAGTAGGTAAAACAACACATACGAAACCAAAAGGCTTTTGGGCCAACGTGAGCGCCCGAACAGATCTTTGCTCGAGGAGGGGTCCAGGCACGTAAGTACGTTAGGGGGCGGTCTCCACCTGCCGATACGTCCGGCTTATGAATGCCGTGATCGAAGCCTAGTCACAACCTTTGTCAGACGCGGAGCTGCAACTGCCAAGAGACCCGCGTTACTCTGGCCCAGTAACGGTCTGAATATTGGAGCCGTTTCAACAGCTATATGTCCCAGACTCAAACGCAGTAGATACCGCCAATGAGAGTCCGGCATTTGTAGGCTATCGCGCACGATACCAACCACCTCTTCACATGCCAGCTAAATCCATTCCACTCATACCCCTCTCCCTTTGGTCTGCTAGGGCAGAACGCACTTCCGAACCCTGCTCCCATTACAGCGTTTACGACTCTTCTACCTTCAAGAGAAGTGTAAAAAAATGAGACGCTCTAAGGAATGGAGAGTTCATCCATGTATACACAAATCGCTTAAAGCTCGAGGGAGGGGTTGGTGGGGGTTTATACCCAAACATTTTCAAATTTCCCATAGCTTTCGTCTAATGAACCACTGCGGCGTTTTTCAGGCGTAGGTGATGGCAATCGACAGTGCCTCAAAACCGGTAAAGTGTGATGTAATATCCTAAGCTGATACACACTGTACATCTTTGCTGCATTCTACAACCTCCACTGTAACCATGAAATGCCGCACATTTATTAACGAGATGGCTGAGTCATTTCGCTCAGTGGCAATACTCTTCAAAATATTTCGAAACCACTATCTTCTTAAATATCTTTTCACTGGCACCCATTTATATAATTGTCTTAATCTCCTAATTCAGGTTAAATTTGACTATTTTAATACAAGTCCGACAAATAGTTTAGGTATGAAGCCAAGAGGGCAGAAGTGGCCCAAGCCAAAAATATTATTTGTTGGACTTAACTTCTTAAACTAGTTTCTAATTGGATACATTTTAAAATAAGGGTCGCTTAGTCCTTAATTTGGTAATACGCTAAGCAGCGCTGTATCTAAAAATTAAGGAATAAGCGACTTTATTTTAAAATTTTTCACATTTGAAACTATTTAAAGTAGGTAAGTAGAAACAAAATTTTTGGGGGTAAGGCCACTATGGCAACCTTGGTCGAACCCTTTGAAATAAAGAAATCTCCTACCAAGGTAATTTTAGGATTCATTAAGAAAGCCGAAGGTATCTTGCTAACATACTAGTTCAAAATTGTCCAGTCCAAAAATGGTAAACAAACGTTCTTCCACTGATTAACTCATAAATATGTAAATTCCCTAGAGCTGATTATGGTAATTTAGAGAATCTGAATACTTCATAGAAATACCCGCGGGTCGCATACGCATACATATACATATAGTACATACATACCTATACAAATCTACTAACATGGAAACTCGACTTTCACATAAAATTCTCAAATTATGCATCATTATTTTCGAGTGAACTCGCCACAGTTAAAGAAAAAGAACACGAAAACAAATAAAAAACGAAAGGGATTAAAAGAAAAAAATAAATAATTATGATAAATACGAAGCCAACTCAAACTTGAATGACAGACTGTCTACCTACTACCTAGTTAACTGGCGTTATTGGCGTTAAAGGTATGGGCAAGAATTCGGATACACTGATCATTGGGGAGTTACAAGGAATTTCAATCGAAAATGTGAGGGGCGGATGGATATGTACATACATAAGAATTGTGCTTGTTTAAGACGAACTTTACACGATTGTTACATTCTTTAATTTGTAAGTGGCGGTGGGAAAGAAGAAATTGTTAAGTAGTTGCATCTGATTACCAGGCGATTGTGGTAAGATGAGTGAGTGACGGTGACGGTGGCGATGGCGATGGCGATGGCGAGTCATGAGTCATGCGAATGCAGCAAAGCATAAAAGGAGAAGATGAAGGTATATGCATCTACTAGATATGTATGTACATATATATTTATAACAATTTTAAGTCAAAGGTAAATGGGAACAGTAAATCAAGCAAAGAAATTCCTGTGTAATGACGAGGAACCAAGAGAATACATACTAGTGGACTACACTATTAGTGAGGAACAACGAGTGGGGATTGTTGCCGCAGTACCTACATATCTATTGAAGTAATCGCATTCGATCACTTGTGCGTTAATAAGTATGGCATAACCCGGCAGTTAATCGTATTATCTCAAAGCGAGTATTTATATAGAATAAATCTATATATATATATATATATATATATATGTATATATATATATATATATATATATAAATGTAGCCGTTTTCTTTGTGACCAATTGGCTCAAAAACCGATGAACGGATTTCAATCAACAGTATATTTCTTAGGACCGCGGCAAGGTCATAGGAAAAACTATTTTAACCCGCTAGGTGGTGCAAGAGTCGAAATATTCAAAAAATCTGTATTTATGATCCGATTTTGATGAAATTAGAAACGTATTATGTGGGTATGACGGTAAAGACTCTTACGAAAAATGGATCCGCTAGGTGGCGCTAGAGTCGAGTTATTCCGAAGATTTTTATTTTTGATAGAGTTGTGAAATGGAACTAAGTATTGAGGAAGGCTTATATTATTACCAGCTCCACACCATAAGAACCGACCTAACTAGATGTCGTCTGAAGAATATGAAATATGTACATACATCGTCACCTGAAATGCAAAATAACATAACAACATCGTCACTGAAATGGAAATAGTCTTGACTAATTTTTTTTCATAAAAAGATGTGAGGAGTTGTAATTCGATGAAATCCGTCATAGCAATCAAAAAGTAAATTTTAGATTTTTTAGGTTACGACTTTTTGCATTTCAGTGACGATATGTACATTCGGGACATGTTAAGGACTATTTTGGGACTTGTTCGGGATAATTTTTGAACATGTTGAGGAATAGAAAGGAACCATACCCAGACCCTTTCACAACTTTTCCGAATTCACTTCGAATCAAATTCACTTCTTTTTCTACCATTTCGGGGCCTGTTCTCGATCATTTTACGACCTGTTCAGGACTATTTCGGGCACATTTCGGAGCTATTTTGAGACTATTTCCGAACATTTTACACTTTTTTAGAACCACTTCAGGACAATTTCGGGCCAATTTCGAGATCGTTTCGGGGTAGTTCGAAACTGGCCTTGATATGGTCCTGAAATAGTCCTGAACTATTATGAAAATATCGTGTACTGGTCCCGACAAAATGAATAAAAGGAAATGAAACTAATGTTTAAATTCTAGCCTCACCTATTTATCCTTGCCAAGCCGTACACAGATTTTAACGCATCAAAATTCATTAGTAGCTGGTACTTATGCAATTTTTATTTCCCTTTTGTATAGAAAGAACACCATCTAAGTGGTCATGGTCCGAAAATAATTACCACCGCACCAGTTTAGTAAAAAAATTACATTGATCTGATAGGTCTATGTTTCTAACAACAGCTTTAATGTGTCAAATACCCTTTGGATTTGAAAAGTACGCACTTAAGTACAAATGTAAATAATCTTGCTCGTCCGCATGGCATCAATTTGATGGAAGATGATAGGTCTGAAGTTGCATGTAATCAAAGTTCATGTCATTTATCATTAATCAAGCTATTTATGTATTTATGTACATATGTACATACATAACTTAGTTTTCTAGTTTTGTTTTTCTAACGCAATTATCTCGAGCTTATACATACTTTCATTTACACATCATTACCATGCAAGTGTGTGCGAGCATTTGTGCTTATGTTTATAACGGGTGATTTTTTTGAGGTTAGGATTTTCATGCATT